TGAATAGGGCAAACAGGTAATTTAGAATTGGATTTTATCACTTAAATAGGCGTCATCAGTGACATCACTGCCTATCGCGGCACCAACCGACGGCCGTTTGCGCATGCACGAAAACCGGAGAACAGTTAAACATAACTAACAGAGGACTTTAGCTCGCGCCCACATGAACGCTCATCATCGCGTTTATGCGCGAACACTTGCATGTGTATTCTAGCCTTGAGGTGAGATGTAACTTTGCACCAATCGAGAGTTAACACATTGTCAAAGCACTACATTTTGCAGGCCATAAATCCAGGCCATCATTCCCATCATTCAAAAGGGACTATCGCCTAAACATGGGTATATCAAAGGTAAAAAAAAAAAAATCATATAGGAGAGAAAAAAAAAGGTCAAGGATGCCACTAATTCAAAAAGGTCAAGGTAGAGCCACAATGGACAATAGATAGTATAAATGCACTCTTGGAACAATAAGGAGCCACAACAGGGTACTGTGCACTTGTTAAACTCCACTTACAGAGGCTGAAGCATTATTGCGGTAACCACACCCTCAAAACGTGAGAGGGCGTTAAAAATAGGAGGAACTGGTTTCAGTGATGTCATGACGCCAGCATGTGTTAGAGAGGCCCTAAAAGTGAACAGGAACTAAAGAAAAGGCAGTCCGCCAGATTGGGCGACACGTGATTGGCAGACCGAAAGTTAGGTCCAGGTTTTACAAGGGCCTGACTGGGAAAAAAATTTGGCCTGGGCATTTTTGAATCACAGAGGCCCACTGAGAAGAGGGCAGGACCAGAGAGGAGGATATTTTTGTTATCACCAATAGCAAGCACGCCCCTGACAAAGTGAGCATGTTGGGTCAATGCTCTTCCAGGGCAGGCATGTGCAGAGCCCTGCTGAAGAGATCTAGCATGAGAAAAAGGCCCTGTATTTGTTCTGCACAGCGCAAGCAAATTTATTAACATTGCTTCTGTTGTGTTTGCTTGTAATTTGTCTCTGGCGTCTCAATAAGTGGGATACCAGAGAACAAAAGGGCCAGGAAGTCGTATTGGAGTGTTTGGAGCCAGCTTGTGAAATTGTGTGTGTATGTAGAGTGAGTTGATTGTTGTGTGGTGTTTTGTGTAAATGTTGGTTTCAGTTGTGTTGTGTTTGTGTAATATGTGTGGCTAGGGGCTGTAGTAGGGATTCAGAGTGTGTGTATAGGGGATGTAGCGAGTGTATGCATTGGGGCTGCATGTGTATAGAAAATAGTGTGTGTAGGAGTTGCAAAGTGTGTGAATTTAGGAAAAGTAGTGTGTGTTTGCTTACAGGGGATCTAGTGTGTGCATAGGGGATCCAGAGTGGGCATGACAGTAATGTAACAGGAAAAAAGAGTAAGCGCTAGATAACAAATGGGGCAGCAACCCTTTAAGGGAATGCCTCAAAAACCCTTAAAGTACAACAAAAAGAAATATGGGAAATAAGGGCTGCGCCAGAGAGACTTTATATCAAACAATAATAACAGATAGTCCAAATAAAAAGAGTCTTATCTAAAATGCTCTTATTGGGATCATGCGGTTTCCATGCCGGTCCGCACAAAATAACCTTCATTGTTAATGTTTTATAGCCAAACAAGGTCTATATAGCCTATCATGTTGTGTATATATACCAAGAAAATTTTGTTTTTATATGTTTAACCTTGACTGTTTATAACTAAGATTCTGATTGTCTGTCCCTAATTTTGGCGCCAATTTCAATGATTTGAACTGCTATTTAAACCTCTCTTACCAGGTATCGGGTCCCTATTCCATATTGAAAAAGCCGTATTGGCGAAATGCGTTTGTGGATATTCTATACTGTGTATTTTTATATATTAAAGATTATTTGGTCACTTTTTACTTGTGCCATTTATCTTTTTATACACTTCAGATTGTTTTTTACCTGGCATTTTATCACCTTGGACTCCAAGTAATCCTAGGTGGGGATCATACCACCAGTGCTATCATCAAGGAGCAGTTGGTCTGCTCCTTCCTTGTGAGTACCATTTTATTTTCATCATTTTATCCAGTGAGCACTATTGGTTGTCTCTTTTTATCTGAGCACTGTTTGGTTCTCTATTTGTTTTATCTCTTGCATATGAATGGATCTACACGGATGAGGACAGCGAAGACATTGTTCCTGACCAAGCACCTCATAGACTCTGTGATCCCAATAAGAGCATTTTAGATAAGACTCTTTTTATTTGGACTATCTATTGTTTGATATAAAGTCTCTCTGGCGCAGCCCCTATTTACCATATTCTTTCTTTTGATGACAGGAATGTAGTGTGTGTAGGATGTGCAGTGTGTGCCTATAGGGGATCTATGGTGTGTAGGGGATTTAGTTTGTGTGGAGGACCCAGAGTGTGTATAGGAAATTTAGTGTATGTGTAGAGGAATCAAAGTGTATATAAGGAGTCTAGTGTGTGCATGTGTGTAGAAGATCCAGAGTTGTGTACAGGTGTGTGTGTGTGTATAAGGGATGTAGTATGTATCTAATGTAATGCGTGTATGGGTGCAGTGTGTGTCAGGGCTGCAGTGACTGTACCTGTCTGTGACTGTGTGTGTGACTGCATGTAATTGCTTGTAACTGACTGTGTGTGTAACTGTCTGCCTATAACTGTTTGTGTAACTGTCTGCCTGTGACTGTGTGATGCTGCCTGTAACTGTGTGTGTGTAGCTGTAACTATGTGTATGACTGTCTGCCTGTGACCGTGTGTGACTGTATATGTGACTCACTGCCTGTAACAGTGTGTGTGACTGTGTGTTACTGCTTGTAACTGACTGTGTGTGTGTAACTCTCTACCTGTAACTGTGTGTATGACTGCCTGTGACTATATGTGTGACTGCGTTTGACTGTCTGCCTGTAACTGTGTGTGAGGGGTTGCAGGGATTTTGTGGAAGGGGGCAGGTTTTTTAAAAAAAGTTTACAAATTTGTGCAATACATTTAAAAAAATGTAAAAAACAAACAAAAACATTTTAAAAATGTAGTAGGTGTTTTTGTTTTGTTTTTTGGAGGGGGGGGGATGCCAAACCCAGGCTCTAGGTACAGCCCTGGTTGCATTGTCTGAGGCTTACAGTGTGTGTAGCGGATGGCATTGGGCTGTCCTCAAAATTATGTGTATTCGTATGCTTTCATTAATTTTTGCCATATGTATGTAAAGTATATGCAGCATTCGCCTGATTGATCTGTAAAATCACTCCAGTTATTATGCGAGTGAAACTGCCGAACAATCAGACCACCCCAGGAATAAGTGTACCTCCAATTACCGTTCGCAACAATGCTGCAAACGGGTAATTGGCAATCAGTGCAGTGTGTGCTTTGTCCTCTGGGTGGCCGCCATTCGGGAGACGAACACGTGGCGGCGGCCATCTTAAACTCCCGAACAGCGGTGTTTTGCCGTCGAGTGTCTGGAACCCAAAATTTGGACACTCGGTTAGGCTAACACCGCTGAGACCTCCACACTGCCGTCACTTCGTGTAGAAACTACCGAACGGCTCCCCATTCGGTAGAAAGATCCCCACGAACAAGGGGGTTTATCTGAATCCTACCCAGTCTCCATAACCCAAGCCGTTCGTGCATTTTGTTCCCTTTTTCTGTGACCGACCGCAGGGCCAAAATGTATAGAACCCATTTCGACTGTTAACCCCAGCGCGGTCGGTCTTTTTACTACCTCCAGGAATTTCCTGGTCCGATCTGGGTGATTTTTGAATATGTCACTCACCCAGATCAGGGCTACCAGGGGATGTAATATTTAAAGGGGTACCCCTATGTTTAGGGGTACATCCAGAAAACCAGGGGAATTGTGTCCTGCATAATGGGATTATGAGTCTTACAAAGGGGAGGGGATGTGTGGGTGGCAACTCATGTATGATTGGTTTACTGTATAATTACTGTAAATCCCTCCCTTGCATGGGAGAAAGCTTTAAAAGAAGGTTGAGTGATTAAAAGTTCAGTTCTGCTCCTGATGCTGTGTGTCGTCCAGTCATTGGGATTTATATTGGGATATTATTGGATTGACTTGCCTGCTGTAATTATTGCCTTATGGATTTTTAATACTTGTTCCTGAGCCTCACTGGGATCTTGAGTGGAGATAACCTGTAGAATACCAGCTATCCACTACATTGGTTGGCAGCGCCGGGATCCAGACTCACAAAGGAACAAGGATTAATGGAGATTGATTACTCCACATTAAAACGATCCACACTGAAAGATCTCCTGGAAGCAAGAGGTATTCCAGCCAGCAATAAAACAAAGGCAACACTCATCTCTGAAGTAATGGCAGAATACAGATTCTGATTCGGTCACCGAACAGAGGGATGCGACAGACGGAACGGAGCAAGCAGAGTTCCAAAGGCAGCTCCAATTCAGACTGTCCTTTTATGGGGAGAATCCACCGATAGAGATCATCTCCAAGACGATGACAGATGTCCAGGAGTTTATAATGCGGCAAAGAAGGCCACAAACACCAGAAAGAAGCCCAGCAGTTTAAAATGTATGTAGAAACCAAGCGTTTAAAATGTATGTAGATGTGGAGGAAGACATAGACGCATTCCTCCAAGATTTTGAGAGACTATGCACGCTACATACAATAAATATGGAAGATTGGGTCCCCATCCTAGCAGGACGGTTAACGGGGAGAGCCACTGAAGCATACCGTACTATACCAGATACAGAGATCCAGAATTACAGCTGGGTAAAAGAAGTTATCCTGGCCCGGTATACCATCACACCAGAAGCATACCGGAGGCGCTTCAGGGAATTGAAAAAAGCAGAAAAGGACTCGCATGCAGAATGGGCTTGCCGATTACAAAGGGCAGCCCTCGGATGGATACAGGTGAACCAGGCACGGTCCATGGAGGACATATTACAAATGCTGCTGTTAGAACAGTTTTATGACGGGTTACCCACAGATCTTCAAGAGTGGGTGAGAGACCGCAACCCCACGTCTATCACAGATGCTGCTAAAAAGGCCGATGATTATATAGATGCCCGCAGGCAGCACAAGCTTGTGGTTGTCAAGCCAGCTGTGCGACCCCTAGGAGGAAGCCGTGTTCCCACTGGCACAAACGCACCACCGAGACAACTACTCCCACCAGCTCCTACAGCTACTCAACCGAGGTTCCGCCAAACCCCCTCTGGGCAATGCCACCAGTGCCAGAGGTGGGAACACTACAAGCGGGACTGTCCACAGCTTCGAGACCGATCCACCTGGATCCGACCAGGTCCACCCCCACCACCGAGAGCAGCAGCACACCACTACCAGGACGAGACACCCGCCGCTTATGGCTCCGCAGTTCCCGTCACTACCATAGATCAGTGGGAAGTATTACATGAAGCCAACCCGCTGCAAGCAAATGCGGATAATCGCCAACTTCACAGGAAAACAGTCTACCTGGAGGGAAAAGCTGTGCAGGGACTCCGAGATTCAGGGGCCCTAGTCCAAAGCCACTTGGTCTCTGCCAAAGCCAAAACCAGCAGGACTGTAGCCATCAGGGTTGCCGGGGGAGCCGTATACCGGCTGAATACAGCACGAGTACATTTGCATTGGGGAGCGGGGTCGGGAAATGTAGAGGTGGGGTTGATGCCACAATTATCCGCAGAGGTGGTACTGGGAAACGATCTAGGAAAGCTCACTTCTGCTTTTGAGCCCCAAACCACAACCACTGAGGAAGCACATCCAGTGGTCACCAGGCAACAGGCCCGCAACCAGGATTACAACACACTGCCGGAGGTTCAGGTAAGAGAGCCTTCCCCTTCCCTAGACTGTGTCCCTTGGGCCCCTCCTAACGAATTTGTGGCAGAGGTGATCACTGACCCTACCATACAGGTATATAGAGACAAAGTCACCTCTGACCAACCTGGGGCGGTGGGCGAAAGATTTGTATGGCATAAGCAGTTGTTATACAGAGAGTCAGACAAGCAGGTAGCTGGGTAAGACCCGATTGTTCTAAGGCAGCTAGTAGTACCACAGAGGTACCGAGCTGAATTGCTCTGGATAGCTCACGATATTCCGCTATACAGGCATTTGGGGGTCAGTCGTACCAGATACCGACTGACCCAGTTTCTTTTGGCCAGGGATCAGCCAGGAAGTCCGTAAGTATTGCAGCACCTGCGATACGTGACAGAGGGTAGGGAAGACGGGAGACCGACGGAAGGCAAAGTTGCATCCGCTACCTATAATTGAGGAACCGTTTTATAGAATAGCAGTAGATCTCATAGGTCCCCTTCTGAAACCTAGCCCTTCTGGCAAGAAATATATTTTAACGGTGGTGGATTACGCCACCCGATACCCGGAGGCGGTGGCCCTGACAAATATCCACGCAGAAACCGTTACCCAGGGAGATCATCTCGGATCAGGGTACTCAATTCACCGCAGAGGTCACTCAGCATCACTGGAAATTTTGTGACGTTAAACCTATCATCAGTGCCCCCTACCATCCCCAGACCAATGGGCTATGCGAACGGTTCAATGGTACATTAAAACAAGTGCTCCGAACCTTTGCTGAGACCCACTGGGACTGGGAGCGATTCCTGCCCCTCCTCCTCTTCGCTTACCGGGAGGTGCCGCAGGAATCAACCGGGTTTTCCCCATTCAAACTATTATTCGGGAGGAGAGTAAGAGGGCCCCTAGACCTTATTAGGGAACATTGGGAGGGAGACCGGAGCGCAGACGGTACCCCCATTGTACCATATGTGTTGGCACTCCGAGACCGCCTAGAAGCGCTAACTAGGACGGTAAAGGAAAACCTTCAGGCGGCTCAGACGCGTCAACGCACCTGGTATGATCGAGGCGCCAGGGACCTTAGCTTACAGGTTGGGCAGAAAGTTTTAATTCTAAAACCTGTCCGACATGATAAGCTACAGGCCGCCTGGCAAGGCCCTTATAAAGTGGTGGAACAGAGATGTGACAGCACTTATATAATTGGCCCCTGCGCAGGGACTAGAGGGCGATACATGCTCTATGTGAACACCATAAAGCCCTACCAGGAACGCTCAGAGGAGGTGACCGCTATTTGTGCGCCTAACTCTGACGAGTTTGACAGCCTTCCCCTCCCGGATCTACTGGGAGACGGTCGGCTGTCTGGGGATTTAGGAGAAGTTGTGCTGGGAGACCGGCTGAGCCCACAGGAACGTACCGAGGTACAACAGCTGCTAAGAGAGAAACAGGACACCTTCTCTAATATGCATGGATACACTCCTCTAGCCACTCACCGGGTGGAAACCCCAGGGCAACTCCCCATGCGCCAGACCCTGTACCGCATCCCTGAAGCGGTGCGGGAGAATATGCGCAAGAAGATCGATGAAATGCTTCAACTGGGGGTGATTGAGCCCTCAGACAGCTCCTGGGCATCTCCAGTAGTCCTCGTACCAAAGCGGGACAGTACGACCCGCTTCTGCGTGGACTATCGGAGGTTGAACGAAAAGACAGTGTCCATGCCCAGGATAGACGAACTGATAAACCGGATGGCCAGATGCCAATACCTCACCACTATTGATCTGTGTAAGGTGTATTGGCAGATTCCCTTGGCCCTGGACGCCATCCCTAAGTCAGCCTTTGTCACCCCATTCGGCCTGTACCACTTTAAAGTCATGCCGTTTGGGATGAAAAACGCTCTGGCTACCTTCCAGCGGATGGTGGACCGACTCCTAGATGGGTTCCAGGACTACACCTGCGCATATCTGGACGATAATGCCATTTTTAGCAATACCTGGCAGGAGCACTTGGCCCATATAGGAGCGGTTCTAGACAGGATTAGGGAGGCCGGTTTGACGTTGAAACCGGCCAAATGTAGTAAAGGGATGGCCGAGGTACAATACCTGGGCCATCGAGTGGGCTGTGGGAAACAGAAACCAGAACCAGCCAAAGTAGAGGCCGTAACCCAATGGCCCACCCCTAGGACTAAGACTCAGGTGTTGGCATTTCTCGGGACAGCAGGATATTATAGTAAATTTGTCCCCAATTATAGCGCCCTGGCCAAACCCTTTACTGACCTGACCCGTAATAACCTTCCCCGCCAAGTAACCTGGACCCCGGAGTGTGAGCAGGCATTCCAACATCTGAAAAATGCACTTATCAATGCACCTGTCTTGGCAGCTCCCAATCCAACTAAACGTTTTTTTGTTCACACAGACGGTTCTATGTTTGGATTGGGGGCAGTACTGAGCCAAGACGGGGCCGATCGAGAAGGAATGCCTGTCTGTGGTGTGGGCCCTAAAGAAGTTGCAGCCGTATTTGTATGGACAGCCCTTTTCCTTGCTCACGGATCACAACCCGTTGGTATGGCTGAACCGGGTGGCTGGGGGGGGGGCAGGGGACTGGGGACAATGCCAGGCTGCTGCGCTGGAGTTTGGCGCTGCAGCCCTTTGACTTTAACATTCAGTACCGCCCGGGAAAACAAAATGGAAACGCGGTCTAGACAAACAGACTTGGAAAAATGATCCGTGAGCAACTCGGACATCTCCAAGCCGATCCTTGCTGGATCAGACTGTGTATGCCGGCTTGTGGGTAAGGGGGAGCAGTGTAGGAGATGGCATTGGGCTGTCCTCAAAATTATGTGTATTCGTATGCTTTCGGTTAATTTTTGCCGTATGTATGTAAAGTGTATGCAGCATTCTACTGATTGTTCGGCAAAATCACTCCAGTTATTATGCGAGTGAAACTACCGAACAATCAGACCACCCCAGGAATAAGTGTGCCTCCAATTACCGTTCGCAACAATGTTGCAAACGGGTAATTGGCAATCAGTTCAGTGTGTGCTTTGTCCTCTGGGTGGCCGCCACTTGGGAGACGAACACGTGGCGGCGGCCATCTTAAACTCCCGAACAGTGGTGTTTTGCCGTCGAGTGTCTGGAGCCCAAATCGGACACTCGGTTAGGCAAACACCGCAGAGACTTCCACACTGCCGTCACTTCGTGTAGAAACTACCGAACAGCTCCCCGTTCGGTAGAAAGAACCCCAAGAACAAGGGGGTTTATCCGAATCCTCCCCAGTCTCCATAACCCAAGCCGTTTGTGCATTTTGTTTTCCATTTTCTGTGACCGACCGCAGGGCCAAAATGTATAGAACCCATTTCGGCTGTTAACCCCAGCGCGGTCGGTCTTTTTACTACCTCCAGGAATTTCCCGAACCCCTGGTCCGATCTGGGTGATTTTTGAATATGTCACTTACCCAGATCAGGGCTACCAGGAGATGTAATATTTAAAGGGGTACCCCTATGTTTAGGGGTACATCCAGAAAACAAGGGGAACTGTGCCCTGCATAATGGGATTATGAGTCATACTAAGGGGAGGGGATGTGTGGGTGGCAACTCATGTATGATTGGTGTACTGTATAATTACTGTAAATCCCTCCCATGCATGGGAGAAAGCTTTAAAAGAAGGTTAAGTGATTAAAAGTTCAGTTCTGCTCCTGATGCTGTGTGTCGTCCAGTCATTGGGATTTATATTGGGATATTATTGGATTGACTTGCCTGCTGTAATTATTGCCTTATGGATTTTTGATACTTGTTCCTGAGCCTCACTGGGATCTTGAGTGGAGATAACCTGTGGAATGCCAGCTCTCCGCTACATGTGGTATGTGTTTGTGATGCACTGCGTGGGGGTGCAGTGTGTTTTGGGGGTGCATTGTTTGTAGAAGGGTGCATTGCGTGGGAAGGTGCAGTGTGTGGGTGGGGGAGGTGCAGTGTGTGGGGGTGGTTGCAGTGGGGTCAGATTAAAGAAAATAGACGTGTATTTATTTTTTTGGATGTACAAAAAAATATATAGTTTATATCCCACTCCCTTCTTATCTTTTCTCAGGGAGGGGGGACATTGCCAGCAAGCCCTGGTGGTCTTAATGGGTAGTAAAGTCTAGGCTGCAGCAACTCCAGCTAGAGTTCACTTTTGCGATCAGAGCATTGCCATGGTAACCACGACAACGCTCCGACCTCGCAAGAGGAACCACGCAGAGCTTCAGACTAGAGATCTGTGGGTCCTCTCTACCTCTCCCTCCCCTGCTGGCCGCCCATTTCAATGCCTGGGCCAGTGAGGGAGATCTTTAATCTAGACACCAGCCCATGAAGACACACAGCAGTACCAGCGCATAGATAGCACTGGCCCTACAGAGGCCAGCGTGGGAGATCCTCTGATCTCCCATTTCGGCCTCAGTCCATGGCCATCGCGGCCCACTGGGCTTTTGCCCGGTTTGCCCTATGGCCAGTCCGGGCCTGGGCTTTACAGCAAGATGGTTTTCGCAAAGGAAAAGCTTGCTTATTTATTCAAAATAAACCATT